GGAGCTGACTTCTGAGGAGGGGGAGGGAAAGGGCCTTAGCAAATACCAATATCTCTCAAAGCCAAATGATGGTTATAGGAATTTCTGGACCATGTTTTCTATACTTTCATGGACGGAAGTTTGGAATATTTCATAATTGATCCTGTTTGAATTAGAAGCCCTGTCACAGACTGAGTAGTGGGGAGGATTAAGTCCAGCAGGCTGAGGGAACATCAGCAGAAACAGAAACATGAAAGTACAGCCTGTTCAGGAGCAGCATGTAGCGTGGCTTGGACTGCAGCAAAGAATTCCTGGGTGGGGAAAGAATGGGAGAGGCAAATGGAAGCCAGCTACATGGAGGTATCTGGACTGGATTCTGAAACTCATGGGGGATTTCTGAAGCTATTGGAGGCCTGCAGGCCTCTGTGCATCTCGCTGGCCTCTCCCATCTATCTGGATGCCGTAGACAAAGCACACTGACCGCCTGCCCTCCTATCCCTTCCTCCTCCTCACAAGACCCCTGACCTCTGACGGGAAGCTGCAGCTCCAAGCTGAAGAGCCAAGCAGCCAAGAGGTCAAGGCCCCCTCCATGGCAGCCCTCTGAGATGAGTCAGATCTGAGTTGCTAACATGGAAAATGCACATTGTCTCACACACACAGGTGTGAGAATTGGAGAATCTCTGAGCCAGCACCGCCCTCAGCTCTATGAGTTCAAACAATCCCCAGAGCCAGCAAGAAGAAAATTGTCTCATAAAACTTCCCATTGATTTTAGTTGGATCCTTATAAATTCCCATGAGGCCAGATTGCTTTTAGCATGATTAATATCCCTGCCTTCCCCAGGCACATTTGTGCTTCTCTCTCTCCCCCTCTCTCTCTCTCTTTTTCTCCCCCACCCCCCAACGCACATGCATACCCATGCCACACACTCACTCTCACGGTCGGTCACGCACACTCCACCATCCTCTCCAGCAGGGACACGTGCACACAGAGAGACACACTGTTTCTGCATGTACTTCTCACTCTCAAACACAGGGTTAACTGTTTCCCTTGTCAGGAAACTTCGGGTCTGTTTCCTTTTGTAATGTGTTTTTCACACTTATCTCAAACCTGGCGAGCCTCTGCCTCATGACCAAATTTTTCCCTTGAAAACACCCTGAGTTCACATAACCCAGAGCACCGGCCCCACATCAATCACAGGGCCTGATGACTGGTGGGTCAGCTCGAGAACCAAAACAAGCCGCTCAGCAGCTCGTTGTCTGCACAGTTGGGGCTTCCCAGGGTTCACGAAGCAAGAAGACACCCCTGGTGTGTCCCCACACAAGTAGTATGGAGCTGGGCCCAGAGTCACAGGGGGCTTCCAGACTTACAAAGGGGCAGGCAGAGCTCACCTCTTTGTTCAGGAAAATAAGGAGTCCAGGAGAGGCAGCACTCCCCAGCACAGGGCAAACTCCAAATGAACTTATGTGCAGAAAATGGGCCCAGAGGATACAGTTTCTCAGCAGATGCCAGCCTTGTTATTTTGGTGGGGAAATTAGTGCATGTAATAAGGAGGGAAAACATCCGTAATTGTTCTTTTTTCAAAGGCACATGGCTTAGCACAGACATTAGCTCACATTTACTACTATCCGGGAAATCCACTCCTCAGTCAACGAGTGCTCACTGCCAGGTACCACATGCTCTCTCCCTCTTCAAGTTTCCCCTCCTGGAGGCCTCCCATGCACTCCTCCAATTCTTAGTCTCCCTGTTAGCCAAGACCTACCAAACAGAGGCAGATGTCAGCTGGTTAGAAAGAACTTTCCAGAAGGCAAAGCTGTCTTTGAGCAGTAGGTACCAGTGGCCAGAAGAGTGGGTGCCCACTCCCTGGGTCATGCACAGAGGGGTTTCATATGTCTCCTGGCCCTCTAGGAGATTTCCAAGTCCCACGCCTGGACTTGCCTGGTCCTTGCCTGCTACCCAGATGCCAATAGCATCTCACTTCAGACCTCCTTCAGCTCATGTCACACCCCCACTGTCTTTGTATAGATCCTTTCTCCTCAAATACAGTGTATGAACTTTGAAAGTGCAAACTCAAAAAATGTCATTTTTCCATCTTCCCCAAAGTTTCTAGCACAGTGCTCGGCACATGGTAAATGCCAAATAAATTATTTTGGTGGATTGGAGGACTTTGGAAAGGAAGAATGTGTTTAAAAAGATGGTCCTACAAAGCCGGGTGTCTAAAAGTCAGACAACCCAGAATAGAATCAGGTCAAAATCCTCCTTTATCACTGTAGCTGAAACCCCAATGATGCAAAGACCTTTCCTGTGGGTCAGGGCCATGCCCTAAGAGACATTCCTGGGCTCATCCTAATATGCTGTTTCTTTTACATAGCAAAGTGGGTAAGAGCAGGAAGAACAGGCTTGAGTTGTTGCCAATCATCTCTACTCGTGAGTCACTTTAGGGCTCACCTATATCATTTCTAATGTAGGCATATCATCTATACTTCATACGGTAGTTGTAAAATTAGGTGATTTGTTGCATATACATATGTTTAGAAATAGTGGCCAGTATTTTTCTAACAATAAATATGCATTATGTGCTAAGCACTATTCTAATTGCTAAAAATACAGCAGTGAACAAAAACAGCAATCAAAAACAAATCCCTGTCCTCATGGAGCTAACTGTCAGGTGGGGTATCATCCTACATATATAGTGGTGTCCTCTGGTTTTTATTATTTCTGTAGTATCACACTTTGTCTCCCCTATGGGCCATATCTCCAAGACTGGCAAAGTTCCAGGCACATCATGGGCATTCAGTAAACAGCTTTTGAATTGTCAATGAACAGATGAATCCGTAATTGTAACATGGCCATATTCCTGTCAATGTCAAAATTATAGGCAACATGTACACAGCCCTGGCATAGGGGTTGATGTGTTCAGATTCAGTTAATCCTCATATCAAACCCACCGGCAGGTATTAGGGTCCCAGACAACAGATGAGGAACGTGAGGCCGACAGAAGTTAGAGCCCTTGCTCAGGACACCTGTCCAGAGTTTATGTTCATGCACGCTATCCCCCCTGCCTCACCATGGACAATAGTTCCAGGAGGAGGAGGGAATCAGTCACCACTCAGACAATTGCAGCCACTCCTCACAGACCTGCCTGGCACCCCATCACCCTCTTCACCCATTTATTCAAAGCAGCAAGGTGACCACCCTAAGCAGCAGGTTTGATCTAGTCACCTGGTCACTTCCTTATTTAACCCCTACTCACCCCAACCCCTTTGAGGCCCTTTTGGCTTTAAAACATTCTTCAATTTTTTTCTCTGCTGCACACATCAGGAAATTCATTTTACATTCAGGCACAGTGGTGAACACCTGTAATTCCAGTGGCTTGAGAGGCTAGGACAGGAGGATCACAAGTTCAAAGCCAGCCTGGGCAAATTAGCAAGACTCTGTCTCAAAATAAAAAATTCAAAATAGGATAGGGCTGTAGCTCCATGATAAAGCACCCCTGGGGTTCTATTCCTATCCCCCCCCCAAAAAAAAGAGAAATATTTGACATGGAAACCCAGAACTCCTCCATGTATATCCATAGAACTAAAACAAACATTTCCAGAAACAGTGCTGTCCCACCTAATAGAAAAAGACCCTGTGCTAAATATCTTCTTTTTGACCTTCCAGATTCACTGGTCCCCCTGCCTACCCTGCCCTACTCTGTATTCAAAGTATGCTTTGGCTACCTTAGTAGCTGTGTGACTTGAGCGAGTTACTTACCCTCTCTAAGACTCAAATTTCCTCCCTGGCAAAAACTAGATTCATAACAATAACACCCAGCTTATAAAGGACTAAATTATATCATACCTATAAATTTCTTAGAGTATGCCTGGCTTATAGCCATTCTCTTAAGAAATGTTTGCCAGCATTAGTATTATTTTGAGTAAAAGAATAATAAATATGCCTTAATGTTCATTAAAGTATTTTAGTGCCTGGTTCTCACTTTGTATGGAAATGTACAGACACAGGACATGTGTCCACAATCTGTAGCGACACGACTTAAATGATTGTTTTAGAAATAAAGCCACCAGCCTGCTTGAGGCTATTTTTAAAATAAATTCAGATCGATGGCCCTATGAGTCCCAGTTGTCCCAAACTCCATGTTAGAAAGCAACTTTCCAAAGGAAGAGTAACTTTGTTTCTGGTGGTTTTATGATGTGCACAGAATCAAGAACCTTAGCCTGTGACATTCCTGACAGAGATGTACCTAGCAATTACTCAGCCACTGGGGAGGGAGGTAGCCCTGGTCTCCTGTTTTAAATTGTGCTTTTGCATAAAGCACAGCAATGACTTTTTCTTCTCCAGAACTCAAGATTATTCCCAAAAGGCAGGCACCCAGGTTAACAGCCAAGTCCTAAAAGGTGCCAAGGCAGACTATTAGGAAAAAAGAAAATTCCCATGTTATAAGTCACTTGGAAGGCAGTTTAATTATAAAATGTGTGAAGCTGAGTTTTAAATGTGAAGGGTCATACTGACTGTTTCCTCCAACCCTTTGGAAAGTGTTAACTAGTTATCATTATATGAAATTTATGAATGTACAAGGCCCAGGGCTATTTATTATTTCTTAGGCTCCCCAACAATTCCCAGTTACACAGAGTTGATATTCACCATTTAGACAATCCAGTGCAGGGAGGGAAAAGCCTTGAATACCAATATTCATATCGATAATCTGATCACCAAGTCACTCTTAGAGACCTGTTTAGCATCCTTTAAGAAATGTTTAAACTGGACATTATGGCACCCACCTGTAATCCCAGCAACTCTGGAGGCTGAGGCAAGAGGATCACACGTTCAAGACAAGCCTCAGCAATTTAGCAAGGAACTAAGAAACGTAGCAACACACTGTCTCAAAATTTAAAAATAAAATAAAAAGTGTTGGTGGTGTGGCTCAGTAATAAAGCCCCCCTGGGTTCAATCCGCAGTACAAAAACAAGAAGAAAAAGGAAAGAAACAGATATGTTTAAACAGCCACTCCCTTACCACTCACCTTCTCCCTCCTACCACTTCAAAATGTGAGCCTTCATTCTATCCACAGCACTGCCACATGCACCAGGAGTGTGCACACGTCTACTCCATTTGGAAAAAAAAAAAAAAAACAGTTATTACTGATTGCTCAGCATGATGTCTTACTGTAGAAGACAAATCACCAAGGGTCCTGGGAAACTCACTTCACTGAAAAAATTGTGTGGGTGTCAGAAATCTGAGCAGCCTCAATATGCCACACTGGGAGGAGAGCTGACCCTGGTGGTGTGCTGGTCAGTGTTTAGCAACCAACTCTCTAGGGGACAGGGTGCCCAAATTTGTTGCTCTTACCAAGTTCTGTAATGTAAATGTTCTTGCTTGGACAATCTCAAGCTGCCAAATTGATGTCACAGAAAAGAGTTAGAAAGTTAGAAAGTGCTGCCCCTTAGCACACCATTATATTGTACTTCTAACCATAATTACAGTAGAGGTGACACCCTCAAGAGTAGAGATCATGATCAAATATCACAAAATAACTTGGAAGCAATGAGTTTTGAACTTTATTAAATTTGTTTTAAATACATTTTGTTTCATTGCAAATTGTTGCAATTCATTTTTAAAGACCAGCTCACAAATTTCCTGCAACTTTTAACAGTAGACTCTCATGGCAGTTGCAAGTCACTCCAGAACACTGTGAGGTGGGCCCCCCTTGGACAGGGGGATGACCAGTGCACCAGCATTGGAGTGGGGACTTTGGGATTGGAGAGGCCAGATGTGAGCTGAGAGCTTGCTTGAAGCCATCTGGAGTGGTAAGAGTTAGCAGAGCCAGCCAAACCAATATTTACAGGGAGCTGAAAGCCAAGCACATAGGAGATAAACTAACACTAGACCAAGAGGCAGAGGTAGACCCCACAAAGATAATACAGAGCGGAGTTGAGCTTGGTCAAGGTCTTGGTCAAAGTGAGTGTAGGTCAGGAAAGTAAGGAGGGTTTTAGATTTGGATTGTGCTGCATACATCTGTGAGAGCTGCACTGCTCATGTGTATTGATTAGTGAATAATTAAGAAAACTGCCCAGGTTTATTGAGCATTTAATCTAGACCACCTATGGTTTTGCATGCTGTGTTAGCTACTTTTCTATCACTGTAACAAAATACCTGACATAATCAACTTATAATAGAAAAGGTTTATTTTAGCTCATAGTTTTGGAGTTTTCAGTCCATGATTGGTTGGCCTCATAGCTTTGGGCCTATGGCAAGGTAGTACAGAGTGGCGGGAGCAGACAGCAGAACAAAACTCATAGCCAGGAAGCAAAATGAGAGAGCAGAGGCCCAGGATCCCACCACCCTCTTCAAGGGGCCTTCTCTTGAAAATTCCACCACCTCCCAATAGTGCCACACTGGGGACCAAAACTTTCACAGGGATCACCGGGCAACATATAAGACCCAAATGACAGCACATGCTTTACCTCACTACTGACAGCTTCAGGTTACAGCTGCAACAGGCAGCCTGGCTTCAGAGGAACCCACAGCTGGATCTGCTACGCAATACAGGTGCCCGCATGCGTTGGGCTGGTTTAAAATGGCAGAAAGAAGGCAAACAATACATGAAGAGACACTTCAAAGTGGAATAGATCCAGGTTTTCCAGATAGGGTTCAAATAGTTGGTACAAAATAATCTCTACATTCAAAGATATCAGTAGGCATTCCCTGGGCCCAGAGGAGAGGATAGTTAAGTCGTGGTTGATCTAAACTTTTGGTTAATTAGATACACTAGGAATACATTGGTGAAAAATACAAACGTAGTCCTTGACAGTAGGGAATTCCAGTTTTTATTCCCCTTTTCTTATATCCCACCCCTTGGACTTGGCACTAATAACCATCCTTGCTTCCTAAATCTCTGGTCCCCAAACACAATCGCTTGATTCTCCTTGCTCCAAGGCCATGGATAGAAAACCAGCTCCCCCTCAAACTCAGACTCACCCACTACAGCCCAACCTACCCTGAGTCTTTGTGTGCCTGAGAGGGGATATCCTAGCCTGTGAGCTACTGGAAGTTCTCACACCTTTTTTTTTTTTTTTTTTTTTTTTTTGCAGAGGGCCTAGTACAGTTCCTGATTCAATAAACAGGTGCTGAACTGAAAACCACGGCTGCCTGAGCTGAGAGAAGGCTGCATGTTGTTTCTTGTTTGCTAGCCCTTCTCATGTTATGATTCACTGCCCCTCTTCCCTTAGGAAGTGACCTCCTAACTCAGAGTGACACAATATTATATATTCCCCACAGGGATCCACAAATGCCTCACCAATGTTCCAAGCTGGCTGGAAGCTTGATGTTGAGTCCCAGGTAGTGTTTTCTTGGCAGTTTGTCTCTGGGTAGCTGGTTCACGAGAGGAAGAGCCATTACCGGGTGCACGGTGCTGCAGGGAAGTGAGTGAGCCAGTACCACCGCTGACCTGGGAAAGTTTCCATGAATTCATTTTCCCACCCCCAGTGATGCCCTGGTCGCTAACCCAGAAGAGGGGCCAGGTCTGTTTTCAATTAGGACTTTCAAAAAAAGTGTTTTTAAATGGCCTGTAAAAATAATCCAATAAAGGCCCCAGAGGTGTGAGCTGTTGTCATCATCCTGTTTGGAAAACGTCACTCAGAATGCACCCAAAGGCCAGAGAGGGAGGTGGTGACGCTTTAAAAAAAAACTTAATTTGTGAAATGAACCTGTAGGATTAGTTGTCCCCCTTTGTGCCCAGCTTTAATATGTCCTCGACCAGGGAAATCCGAGGCTTTGGATTATTAGCCCCGATGGATCACGTTACTGTTTGGCTCTGCAGAAATCACACTTTTCATTTTGCCTTTAATCCTAAAGGTCACGGGGAAGGTCAGCCCCCAACACAAATGATACTTTGTGGTCTTACTTTCAGACAATTATCAACTCATAAATCTTGGTCAGATGGTAATGAGAGTTCGAGGAATAATTGAATTCAGTCCAGACTCCTAGTGTCAGAGGGAGGGGTGAGCTGGGGGGTGGGGGGAGAGGGAGGGGAGACCGTGGAGGAGGAGGGGAGGCTGAGGAGGGGGCTCCAGGACTGGGGCCAGAAAGTCTCCTGTCCAGTCGCCGATTGTCTTTGTTGAATGGTGGCATTTTGAGGTTTGGCATTTTTGAGTGAAGCCATTAAAGTTGGTGATGGTCCAGCAGAGCTTAGAAAACAGAGGGTAGGAGCTAAATAAGAGCTCAGATCCAAAGGCAACTAGTAGGAAAGAGCAAAAGACTAAAAAAGGGATTTGGGGGTTAGGTGCCGACTTGTCCCAGCTCAGCCAATTACTACACTGTGTGTCCCTGGGAGACCCACTGAACCTCTCAAGGCTGAGAAGGGGCTGCTGTTTCCTATGTAGCAAGATTGTCCTTAAGGGTCAGAGGTAGTCTACTGAGACATTAAAAAGTCATAAAAAGAGACAATATTCTGAAGTAGGTTACTGTGTTTTAATTAAGCAATAATAACTCTGAAAGTATCCTGTGGCCATTCCAAACATGTTTAGAACTCGGTGCTTCTCACCAGCCACCATTCCAGGTTCAGCCCAGCGCATCAGAATCAATGGGTCTTTCTTTCTATGCGTGCCCCTCCCCCATAATCCAGCCTCATTCTAGCATCTAGTCATGGTCCTTTTAAACTTGTCATGTGATTCTTCTGATCAAAACCCTCCAGTGGGGCTGGGGTTGTGGCTCAGTGGCAGAGCACTTGCTTAGCATGTGCGAGGCACTGGGTTCGAACCTCAGCACCACATATAAATAAGTAAATAAAATAAAGGGATTGTGTCCATCTACAACCAAAAAAAAGAGAAAAACCCTCCAATGGTTCCCCATTTTATACATAAGCAAAGGTCCCAGGGTCAGGATTACCCAAAAGATGCTGCAAATTTTGGTGCCTATTTTAATCCTCCCTGTCCTCACCTCCCATTGCTCCTCCAGTCCCCCTGCCCACCCCCATCGCCCCCAACGCTGCAAGACACTCTCCTTCCCCTGGCCTGGGATGCCCGTCATGCAGACACCCCCAGGGTTGGTATGTCTCTCTCCTTCCACTCTGCTCTGACCTCACTTTCTCTGACTGCTCTATTTACCTACCTCACGGGTTATATTTATTGCCTGTCTTCCTCTACTAGAATATATGCTCCACAAAGACAAGAATTTTTGTCCCTTTTCTTCATTGTATCCTAGCTCCTAGAAGAAGGCCTGGCATAGACTAAGCACTCAATATTTATCAAACTGAAATGAAAACTTGATTCCTATCTGACTAGAGCTCTCAGTAGTGAGACTGTTGAGATACTGAATTGCCTAACAACGCAACCCGACCTCCTCAACTATCCTTCTTGCATCAAGGTTAGATAAGTGCCTGATTCTGTCACCTGTGTGCCCAGCCATGTGCTCTGCAGGGTAGCATGCATCATAGCTGATCTCGGATTTATTGTTCTGTTGGCTCTGCCCAGTTTGAAACATCTGGATCTACCAAGGGATACATCTAAGTCCAAAATGTCAGAGTGAATGAACTACAGGACAAAAGTATATTCTTGGTGGGAAGGAAAAGAAGGTTTGCACCACTGTGCCTTCTTCACCAACCTGGCCTGCATCCATAAAACCTACTACAAATGAGTACTTAGCTGTCAGCACCAATAACAGGAAGGGAGTGGATCAAATGATCTTCAGTTGGAAATAAGCATTTTTGTTTTCAACACCAAGCTTTGTAAGTTGACACATACCTTACACAGTCATACCACTTTATAGTGATGCTCCAAATATAGTTTTATTTCATCCTTACTCCAATTTGATAGGTGTTATTGTCATCTTTATACCAGAGACAAGGAAACATAGTGATTCCTTGGCAGAGCCATGGCTTACACCTTCTTTTGGATGTCAGTGAAATCTGGCTTAGCTGGTATGAACAATGACAACAAATATCCTCTGCTTGATGTTCCGCATTTTAGAATTCTGCTGCAACAATGTCCCTCCATCTCGCTTTCTCAGCCCCACCAACTAGAGTGAAGGCTATTTGAGTGCCACAGTGTATCTCCAAGGGCCTGGCACAGATCTTGGCACAAAATAGTTCTGCAACATTAGCAGCAGTTACAGTGAGAAATAAATAAATGAGTAACTATAGTAAAGAAGAAATATAGTAAGCATTGTATAGTATAATATAGTAAATATAAATATAGTAAATATAGTATAGTAAATATAGTAAAGAAGAAACCAAAAGGATGCTGAGAAAGAGAATGGCTTTGGTAAAGGTGAGCTACAATGGATAATGTAGCCAGGGAAAGCACCTTTAAGGAGTTCACATTTAATCTGAGACCCCAGTAGATGACTATTTGCTTCCTGGTGAGTGACCTTGGCAGGATGGAGATAAATAATAGCTACCTGTATGTGTAGAAGCAAGAGTATGTGTCCTGAGAACAGGATGTTCTGGAAAAGAAAGTGTGCCAGAGGATAAGAATGGAGCCACACATGCTCAGTTGTTCAGTTTTTGCCTTCCATTCCAAGGAAGTTTATTGAACATCTACTATGTACCAAGTTGTTCTAGGCACTAGAGCTATAAATAAAACTCATGGAGCTGATATTCTAATGCAAGAGACAGGCATAGATCATTAAACAAGTAGTATGTAAGTGACATCTGCTACAAATATAAACTAAATAAGATAAAGAGATACAGTGTGGCAGGGAAAGGAGTAGGGGAAAGTTTGACTATCAGATGGGGTCAGGGAAGACCACACTCAGGAAGGGGAATTCCTGCAGAGGCCCACATGCAAAATTTTGAGAGGAGTGGGTGAGATTAGAAAACATTTCAGCAGAAGCAACAGGAAATGCCAAGACACTGAAACAAAACCATCTTGCACATGCTCCCTCCTCCAAGAGAGATGAGGAGAAAGTTCATTATAGAAAAGTTAGAAGGAGTTTATAAATGTTCACCGTAAAATTTAAACTTTATTTACAGTTTAATTCACCCAGAAAAGGGGGTAGAGAAGGTCAGGGAAGAAACAAAAGCACCAATCCAAACCACTGAAAGTGGGAGAAGGAACTTTAGCTTAATTATCTCTGCACCCCAGAGCCTGTTACTATGTCTGGCACAGAAAGTCTTGTTGGATTGAATATACACAGTATAAATGAGCAATAAGAGAATGTTGGGATCAAGAAAGTCTTAGAGAAAAGAGAATTTAGAATCTTAAATGGGAATTTTCTCTTTGTTTCATTCATAGTGTTATTCAAACATATAGTGATGTCATGGCCCTGGGACTATGAAACACCTTATAGTTAGTTTATCAACCCAGGATAAATTGACCTCAGAAAACAATTTTTTAAATTTGCTCCACAATTAAAAAAAAAAGTGATCATTGTACATGAACTGCAGGTTTGGATCTCTCCTCCAGTGCATCTGTGCTTTGTGACCTTGGACGAGTTATTTACCTCTCTGTGTTTTAGTTTCCTCATCTGCATAATGGAGATTTTAATAGGAACTAGCCCATAGGTTGCTGCCAAGTGTGTTAACCTTTATAAAACACTCAGAACCATGCCAAGCACACAGTAGAAAGAAATAGCCAGGCATTGCCTAACGACAGAGACATGTTCTGAGAACTTGTCATTAGGCAATTTCGTCCCTGGATGAACACCATGGTGTGTATGTACACAAACTAGATGGCGCAGGTCAACCTCTGGACCTGGGCTCTCGAAGCAATGATGCAACGTGGTACACTTGAGACGTGGGAACTGCTTCCTGCACAGCACAGCATGCTGCTCTGCAGGAAGCTTTTTCGTAAATAGAAGGGATGCACTCTAACATCACAATGAAAAGTCTAGTACAGTAAATGCCTAAAGCAGTGAATCAGCTGGGTGTTATCATGGTCAAGAATTATGCCCTGCGTGTCACTCTAGGTCATGTCACCGCAGACACGGGAAGAACGCATTGCAGTAGGATGTGAGCACTGCCATGACGTCACCAGGCAATGGGAATTTTCAGCTCCATTAGAATCTTATGGGATGACCGTCACTTACGTGGCAGTCATTGACCGCAGTGTCCATGGTGAAAGGTCATTCTGCAGAGCCTGCATGCAGGACCACCCCTGCTGCTGCGGCTCCTGCTGCTGCTGCCGCAGGGGTCTCACAGACCTACCGTCCCGTGTTTAATCCATTCCAAGATGAATATTCTTGAAAATGGTTTCTTAGCATGGGAGATATAAAGGAGAAATAATAAGAATAAATAGTAAATAGGAATATGCAATACAATAATTATACATTCCTCCCCACGGTTATGATTTAGATATGCGGTGTCCCCCCAGCTCCTGGGATAATGCAGGTATGTTCAGAGGTGAAATGTCCAAAATAGACAAATCCACAAAGATATAAAGTAGCATAGTGATTATCAAAGCCAGAGAATCACTGCTAATTATTCCTTTGAAAGACAATGGAAATGTTCAGAAATTAGATAGCAGTGATCATGGCACAGCCTTATGCATATTCTAAAAACCACTAAATTATTCACTTTAAAAGGTAAAATTGTGTGATATGTGAATTATATCTCAAAAAGAAAGAAAGAAGCTCAGCATTGTCAATTACATCTCTGTCTCCAGTCTTTCGTATGTAGTTTTCATTCTTAGTCTTCTCCTGCCAGCCCTGAGGATGTGGACACAGAGTCGTGCACGTTGATTCTTACATATCAGCTGTGGCATGCGTAATCTTCACCCTAAAAATGAACAAACCCAGAGTGGTGATGTAGATGACCAAAGCTGTGCAGCTAACATGAGATAGGGCTGGGACCAGATCTATCTCAGTCTAGTGCTCTTCCTAAAAAGAACACATAGTGAGAGAAGCTCCTATGGCCACTGAAGCACTGGGCTAGGGCACTAAGAAACAAGTGTGGCACTCTGGAAAGAGTGTGGACTTTGGAATCCAGGGTCTAACCCCGACAGACCTAGGGTAAAATCCCAGGATCACCAATTGACCTTAGTTGAATTACTAGATCTCCTTAGACCTTGGCCTCCTCATCTTTAAGATAAGGGTGGTAGCGCCTAATTATCTGGAAGGATGTGGAATTACTTAAGCAGACTCTATATGTAAAGCACCTGAGACAAGGAGGATGTTCAAAAAATGTGGAGTGACGCTGTTATTCCAATTGAGGATTGGTCATAGATTTCAGAGTTACATGGGCCACTAGGCTCCACCTGCTGCAAGGACTTGACCTATAACCTGCAACCAGCTGGTGATGGAAGTCAGTATCATGCAGTGGGAAGAACTGGGGAGAGGGGCTGAGGAGATAGGTTCTAACTTGGCCTTTGCCACTAACATAGTTTTTGATCTTGAGCAATTTACCTCCTTAGTCTATGTCTTAGTATCTCATACAATGCAGTAGTTAAAAGAAAGGGTGAGCGCTGGGCATGGTAGTACATGCCTGTAATTCCAGCAGCTCGGGAGGCTGAGGCAGGAGGATCTCGAGTTCAAAGCCAGTCTCAGCAAAAGCAAGGTGCTAAGCAACTCGGTGAGACCCTGTCTCTAAATAAAATATGAAATAGGGCTGGGGATATGGCTCAGTGGTCGAGTGCCCTTGAGTTCAATCCCCAGTACCCCCCCCTCCTTTAAAAAAAAGGGAAGAGGGAGCTCTTGGCCTACATTTCAGGATCATGAGACTCAAATGAAATCAAGCATCTGATTGACTTTGCAAAGTCAACATAAGAGCTTACTAACTGCGAACTAATCATCTCGGGGATGGAAAATGGCCCTTGGAGAATAACGATGGTTAACAAGTGCAGAAAACTTACTCTGTGCCCCTCACTGTTCTAAGTTCTTTTCCATGAATGAACAAGCTCACTAATCCATGCAGCAACCTTTAGAGGCCAGTGTTATTATAATCTGTTTTTCAAGTGAGGAACTAAGTAAAATGAAATTAAGTAATTTCCCAAGGTCACACTAGTAAGAAGCAGAACAGGGATGTAGACCTAAATGCCCTGGCATCTGAGGACTTGACCCCTAGTCATCTCCATTTTGCAAATGATGAAATTTGTGTGCCCTATGAGCCCACCATATGCAAGTCATTCTTCATGCTTCTCATATGCCCTCTGCCTCCTGAGAACAACCCAGGAGGCAGATATTGTTGCTGTTTTACTGTTGGGGAAACTCAGAAGCACATCATTAACTTAATAAACTTACCTAAAGTCACCAACTTAATAAGTAATACGTCTAGGGTTTGTGCCCAGTTCTATTTCTTCCATGTACTGTGCCTGAGTAGAATTTACCCCAATGCCAAGCATAATACATTACGTACACAAGGCAATGACAGTGTGCTACATTTTGCCAAAGTCTCATCTGGATACAACAGGGACAGCACATTGAGTGCCTCTCAGGCCAGAGATTCTGCTATACTGGCAAACACTTCTTTTAGGCACTAAACAGGGACAGGTCCTTGACATGATGAGTTACACACTGCAGGAAGACCAAGTCCTTAATGATAACGCTGGCAGAGTCTGCCCTGGTGGAGCTAGGAGCAGGTGGCGTGGAAATTAAAAAGTAACTGGAAAGCGAGGGAGATCATGGCATACTTCATTTGGACTGATAGGCAATTTTTGGTCCACTCCCATGGAAATCACTTGGGGATAACCTAGCAGTTATTAAATGCACCAGGCTGGTGGAGAGACCCATTCATTACTGAGTCCCTGCACCAGAATTTCTGCTTAGCAAAATGTCAGCATCACAGAGCCTGATTTAGGTCTGACACAAGAGGCCACAGTAAATCCCGTCACTTAGCAATAGGCAAAGAGGAGAGCACCTCCTGGAAGATACAATGGGACTGCAGAGGCAGCACACAGGTGTCTGGAAATGCCTAGATATGGAAAAGAGACTGGAGTGATAACAATTACTCATATTTTCCAAAAATGAATAGTCCCTACATTGAAATTTCAACTTTCCCAACCTGAATGGGAGCCATCGGGTCATGACACTGCTCCCTGAGAGTTTCCTACAATCCCTTAGGTGCTGGCTCCTAGTCACACCACACCTATATGAAATTTGTCAGAGGACCTAAAAGGTTTAAGCTTGGGTATTTTGCCCATTGCAATAATGGCAGCCCTATGATTTCACTTGCACAGGCCATGAACCTGAGAGTCACCTTTGCCTCCTCTCTTTTCTCACACTCCGTGTCCAATGCAAGAGAAAATGCTGTTATCCCAACCTCCTAAATATACTCCAAATCCAGCTATCTCCTCTGCTTTCACCCCCCATCTAAGCTGTTGCATCTCTCATCTGGTTAGGCAACAGCCTCTAACTAGTTTCTTGCTTTCATGTTAACACTTTCTTGGCTCAAACATGCCCCCCAAAGTCCATGTGTTGGAAACTTCATCACCCACACAACAGTGTTGAGAGTAAGAGGTGATTCAGTCATAAGGGCTCTGCCCTCAGGAATGGATCAATGTCGTTATCAAAGGACTGGGCTAGTTACCAGAGAATGAGTTGTAAAATCGAGCTTCAACCTCTCTTGCTTGCTTGCTCTTGTCCCTTCTTGCCTATTTTTCCTTTTGAGTAGGATGACATACCGTGCATTCCCTCACCAGATACCAGCACCATACTCCTGGATTTTCCCAGACTCCAGTACTGTGGAACAAAACTCTGTTCATCACCAATTACTGACTATCAGATATTCTGTTGTAGCAGCAGAAAAAAGACTAACACAGGTAGAGTTTGGGTTTGGGGTTTTTTTGGTTTTTTTCTCAGTGCTGTTGCTGGCATGATCCTACTCAAACATCAATCAAGTCGGGTCATGGTCATGTCTAAGCTTACATCCTCCAACGGCTCTCCATCTTAGGAAGAGTACACAGTCAAGCCTTTATGCTGACCTGCAACACCCTGCTTTACCTTCCTCCTACCTGTCCTAGTTCCTCTCCCAATCATCCTCTCAGTGCCAGCCTCTGGATTCCTTACTATTCCTCAGAGAGCCCAGGAGTAGTAGAATGGGCCACAGAAGCAGAAGCGTCCAGAACTGCAAGGATGAGGCAGTGGCTATGACAGGGCAGGCCATCTCACCCCTCTCCAGCACATCCTACCTAGGGGGAGGAACACAGTTCATCTGGAGTAGATGGAGAGTAAGAATATGGGGCATTTGGAGAGATCAGGGAGTTTGAGCACAAGATGCATGTTTCAGCCAGCCACTGCCAGTTTGAGTGAGTAGCATCCATGGGTGACTGGAGCGCACCCCTGTATAAAATCTCCTGTTGGCTCTTTTCACTCACCTGAACTGATTCCTTAGCTCAGTGAACAAGGCTTCTGCTTCTCTCTCACCTGCCCTCCACCTCTGGCCAACACACCCTTCAATGTCCCCTACTTGGTCCCCTTTTCCAACCATGCCAGGTTTCTAAGAGTTACCCAAACTGGCCACTCAATTCTGAACTTGAAAACATTTACATACCCCTGAACAAATCCCTTCTCCTTTTAAAAAGAAAAATATTTTTTAGTTGCCAATGGATTTTTCACTTTATCTGTTTATTTATATGTGGTGCTGAGGATTGAATGCAGGGCCACACACATGCCAAGCAAGTGCTCTACTACTAAGCCACAACCCTAGTCCTGATCTTTTCTCCCTTTTCATCCACTCTCTCAACTTTCAAAACTCAGCTTGCTGAACCTGTCTCCATCACCCCATGTGTCCCTTATCCACAAGGTTCATACACACACACACACACACACACACACACACACGACTGAAGGTATTTCTCCTAAGTGCTGCTTGTTCTCAACTATCACACGGCTTCATCCTCTGCAGTACCTACTGGTTTGTTTTATGCCAGTCATGAATTCTTTGTTGGCAGATCCTTGGGCACCTCTGTATCCCTAGCATCTAACACAGCACAACTCCTGGTGGGTACTCTCTCAGCTCCATACATACATGCACCAAATGAATGAAACAATAGAAGCAGGTGTTCCTTTGACCTGGGCAAATTTGACAGTATGTATACAGCATGTCACACAGGCCTAGAGTTCTGAGCCAAACTTTCAGCATTTGGGAGGCAGGAACTGGGACTATAGGAAATGGGACCTGAATCATCAAAGTGGATGGTTAAGTTCAAATAGAAGTGAAGGACTCAGGTCCAAGATCTGGAGAAGAGATGAAAAGCAAGGCCGTGGACTCCAAGATTGGAATGACTTTGAAAAGCTGGTGGAGCTATTAAGATGAAAGGAGGAGCCTGGATATAAAGGAAGCCAAACTGCCCCTGCGATGAAGAGAAAGGGGTGCAAGGAGCCTGGTCACTGAGCACATTGTGCAGTTTCCACAGTATCTTTGGTCAGTTTGCCTCCCCACCAAGCAGATGGGCCTGGGTAGGGCCAATAGAGCTTAGCAATAATTAAAACAGGTGCAGTCTGACTCCCACTCTTACTCTTAAAGTTTTCTTCCTCTTTCTTATCTCTGCCTTCCCAAAGAGTCATTGGAAATGGCAATATGAAATCTTAAGTCAGACAGTCTGATTTAAAATCCCAGCTCTGCCACTTGCTACCTATTTGATCTCTAGCAAGCTACATATTCTTTTAAGTCTCAGATTTCTCATCTATAAAATGGGGATGATTATAATAGCAGCTATTACACAAGGTTATGGTGGAGATTAAATGAGATGTATTAAAAAAAAAAACACTCCCAATGCTTTGTGAGCTCTGCTGCTCTCATTGGTATTGTATTTTTATTTATGGCACAGTTGACTTGATCTT